TCTCCTTCTGTGTGCACATGGAAGTGAAAGATAAAGGGAGTGTTGAACTTGGTGTTATTTACATAATTACAATAGGGGCTGTCAATATTACCTAATTGCATTAGTGCTCAATTGCATAGCACACAGACTCTAAAATATGCTGTTTTATTATTACTGCGCATATAAATATTTCAGTCTAATGAACAAGAAGCTGCTCAGCATCTTTGCCACCCCTTGAGCCCATATGGCATTAGACCATAATGACTGTAATTTTTTAAAAGGTGCTCTTCTCCAAACAGTTTCTGGCTGTTCAATGTTCACAAACCGAATCCTTGAGGTTGAAAGCATAGACCACAAAGAAAGGATGTGAAGTAGTTCGCAGATAACAGTCTGGCTTGGCATCCATTCAGAATTATGGATGAAGATTTGGCAAGGCACCTCCCAAGGGGACAGCTTCATCTCTGCCAAATGAGATTATAATGGCAAAGGCTTTCATTATGAAGATGACAAGCCCCAACAATCATTTGGCTCCAAAGTTCAACTTTATTTATAGGTTCCTTAATTGGTGCATCTACCACTAGGTTTAAAGTCCACTTTAATTCACTCTGAATTAGACACTTGCTTCTTTCAGAAAAAAAATGTGTTTGTTCATCAAAAACTGGACAGAGATGAATCAATGAAAATTCCCTATTGTTTCTTTCCAAGCAATGGAAAGAGCACTGAGGAAAGAGGAGGGGAATCAGAGTTGATACAATTGGAGAGAGCCAATTACACAGAATGCATTACCCACAAGTCACTGAAAGAGGAGCAGCTAACTCAAACCCAGTTCCTTTTTTAATTTCATGGTTAAGGGAAGAAGATTTTGCAATATAGCATGATAGCCTTACAGAGGCAAAGTAATGAGAAAAATGCTGCAATTGGGCTATTGAAAATCCCACTAGTTTAAGCTAATATCTATCAAATCACTTCTCAAACATTATTCTGCAATTTCTAAAAAGTTCCATGCTCTGACCTTTTCTCAAATGATCACAACAAACTCTTCTGGCTCTTAAAAGCATAGTAGCTTATTTCATTTAAATAGGTTTTTACAGCTTACGGAGTTATTTTACACATATTACCTCTGTGAGGTAGCTATGATTATTTCCACTGTACAGATGAAGAGATAGACTGGGAGAACTTCGGAGTCCTTCCAATGGACCCCTGGATGTTAGGTCTGCTAACTCAAAACCCTCTTCACTATACTGTATTGACCCTGAGTTGTCTTCCAATGTTCCAGAACTTTATTAATTAAAGAGAGAAACCAAAAATTATAGATGATGATTATCTATAGTAAAACACATTTTACAGAGTACTTTCAGCAAGAGAGAGCTGCTGCTGGAGAACCAACAAAATGTATAATGAACATGAGAGAATCCTTCTAGTCTGAACATGGGTTTGCTTTGTTTGGAGATTGGTCATCTTTCTTCCCTACTCCAAGATTTTGTTTTTCACTATTAAGAGTCATTTGATTCTCACTGACGCACAAAGAGTTAGGAGGGTTGTGTAATATTGCATGAGGCTGACCTTACCACTGGTGGAAAAACTGCCAGCCAGACACAACGTGTCAGCTAAGAATGACTCAGGGATGGGCTCAACAGTATCAAAGACCTTTATATCAAATCCTTAACAAAGAAGCTTAGTGTAAACAGGACTTCAGGGCTGGGAAATGACACAAGAAGAGGACAGTCACTTCCTCCTCAGAGGACATGGCTTTTGCCAAAATTTGCTGAAATGTGTCCACATTAGTTCCAAATACACACGAATTAGAGGACTCATATCAATATATGCTATGTTCTACCAGGGACACAGAGAATAGTGTAGTCAAAGGCTAGGAAGGAGTGGGCACTGGGTAGAGGAGGGAAATGGAGAAAATGGGGGGACATCTGTAATATTCTCAACAATAAAGATTTTTTTAAAGTATTTAAAAATCTGTGCTGTGTTCTAGGTCCAGATGAGGAAATATTTGAGGCCTGGAAAACTTTCTTTCCTACCCTCCTTAAATAGTTCAAAGCTATTTACACTTTTCAGTTAATATCACTTTTATATCAAAAAGAAGAAGAAAAAAAGATGATAACATTGAAAGAGCTAAGTGGAAATGGGAGAACTAAAAAGAAAAAAAAATATCTGCATGTAAAACTACATAATAGATACAAAGGAAAAAACCTCTCATCTAATAATAATAATGGCGAGAGTAGGCTCATTGTAAGCACATCCTTACTACCTTCTCTTTTACAATAAATACTTCAATGCCTCTTTCATTGTTACCCCAGCTATAATTCAAGTATATAACTTCAGCCCTCAGTTGACTACATAAATACAACTCATGCGAATTAATTTAATTTTTTTTCAATTTTTAAATATAGCTAGGAATATTTTTAATTACATTCATATGTTGCAGAATGAAGCCATTATCAGTAGAAAATTTGAGCTATAGTAAAGACATTGAGTTAATAAATATGGAAAACTTTGGTAAATCAAATAGGCTTATCAGTATAAATGTTCTCCCAACTTATCAAAAAATAATCCAAAAAGTCATTTTAAACTATATATATGTTCTGTTGTCATTTCTTTAGTGATGGATGAGAAGATATAATTTATTTAACTGAAGAAATTTCTGTATCAGGCAATGAATGATATAAAATGTGTAATAAAGAGACTTTTCACTGTGGCACACACCAAGATGGGTTTACTCATCAGTGGTGGTTAGTAAAGATGCATGGGAAAAATTGTGCTTGACAGGAAGACTACAAATCTACCTATACTAATAAAAGCCTAGATGGACCTCATGTGATGCCCTCACGTCATCACAATATGGCTGCTCCCTTGTCATTACAATACGGCTGCCCTATGTTATCACAGGATGGCCAGTACAAGATGGCCAGCAAAGGAGGGCAATTGGGGGCAACCAGGCTTATATGGGAGGCAGTTAGGGGTGAGATCAGGCCAATCGGGGAGGGCAGTTGGGCACAACCAGGCTGGCACGGGAGGGCAGTTGGGGGCAATCAGGCTAGCAGGGAAGTGGTTAGGGCGCAATCAGGATGGCAGGCAGAAGTGGTTAGGAACAATCAGGCAGGCAGGCAGGCAGGTGAGTGGTTAGGAACCAGCATTCCTAGATTATGAGAGGGATCCCAGATTGGAAAGGGTGCAGGCTGGGGTGAGGGACACCCCAATACACGAATTTCATGCACCCTCCTATACACGAATTTCATGCACCAGGCCTTTAGTCTTATCTAACAAAAAAAAAAAAGCAATATCTGCCGAAACCGGTTTGGCTCAGTGGTAGAGCATCGGTCTGCGGACTGAGAGGTCCCAGGTTCGATTCCGGTCAAGGGCATGTACCTTGGTTGCGGGCACATCCCCGGTAGGGGGTGTGCAAGAGGCAGCTGATTGATGACTCTCTCTCATTGATATTTCTAACTCTCTCTATCCCTCTCCCTCTCTGTAAAAAAATCAATAAAATATATTAAAAAAAAAAGCAATATCCACATCATTATCATTCCCACACACAAGATGGCTGCCCTATGTGGTCAAAGATAGCTGCTTCCATGTGGACACAAAATGGCTGCCCAAGATGGCCAACAGGGGGGGCAGTAGGGAGCGATCAGGGATCAGGCCAGCAGGGATCAGGGCAGTTAGGGGTGACCAGGCCAACAGAGGAGGGAAGTTGGGGGCAACTGGGCCTGCAGGGAAGGGCATTTGGGAGGGGAGGGGGAACCCAGGTCTTCAGGAGAGAGCAGTTGGAGGGATCAGACTGGCAGGGGAGTGGTTAGGGAGTGATCAGGCTGGCAGGCAGCAAGTGGTTAGGGGCAATCAGGAAGGCAAGCAAGCAAGCAGTTGGGAGCCACCAGTCCTGGATTGGAGAGGGATCAGGCTGGGCTGAGGGACACACCCCCTCCCATGCATGAATTTTATGCACTGGGCCTGAATAATATAAAAATGCTAAAGAAATTTAAGACATTAATTTATAACCCTCTAATGGCTAATTTGGTCCAACTTTGAAAGTAAAAATTACGTAAAAGGAACAACATGCACTCTTAACATCCTAGAAGAAATTATTTCAATAGTAAGCTGTATGACTGGTGGTGGTACTGCATGGTCCAATGAACTCTGATGGAAAATAGAAAAAAAATTCCTACACAAGAAGTTGAAACCTCCTTTGATGTGTACCTCTCAAAGAAACAGACAAATTGGGTTATCCATACGCCTGACTAGTTACAAAATATATTACCAATGCAATACCTATAGGTTGATTTCTACAATCATGACCAGTAGCTCAGCAAATTAAACTAAATAGAATATTGTGAATAAAAAGCTAACAATGAAATGTGACATACAGTACACAAACATACTCAAAAGGAGGATACTCCTGAACATCAAATTATAATTTCTCTTTCAATTCTAATAGCACCCATCTATCTAAATCTGGGTTATAGATATATAACATATAACATATAATCACTCTCCTGAAACAGGGCAAAACATGCAGCACTTCAGGGATCTAGGTCAGAGTTAAAAATATAAGCCATAAATTCACTAATGCTAGAGGTGAATGAATAGCAAAGAAAATGAGATAGTCTCTATTACTTTGTACTGAAGTACATAAAAGGTTTGAAATTATCTTACAGAATATGTCTGCTTTCTATCTTTTGTATTCTCTTGGTTTCTGTCCATTATATGTCTAAATCCACTATACATCAAATAAGAATAAATCATTTCTAATTTAATAGTTACACAAATCCTTTGAACTCATACATTATTGACAATGACATAGAATATTGACCTTGAGTGTATAAAATATTGACTCACTTTTCTTTCTTTCTTTTCTTTTTTACATTTTTCCTAGATATGAAATGATTAGAATGCATTTTCCATAGGTCGTTTTGTTTTGCCAAGATGTACTCATAATCTATTGCCTAGACAGATTGTTCTTCTGAGATTTTGTCTAAAACAACCAAATCAAAAGAATCAGTGGCATACTAGATAACAAAAGATTATTTTATTTAAATACATCACAATAAAGCTTTGTGGCACATGGCCTTAAATTAAAAAAGGAAATTGTATAAGAGGTCCTAACAAATAATCTGCAAAGAGAGTAGAGAGTTCCAGAGAGAAATAAAATGAGGCCCCATAGAGTCACATGTGTGGTGGGTGGCTCCTGAGCAAGGAGGAGGACCTGGGCTGACAGCTGGGCTCTTTCTTTTCTCTCTCTCATCAGCTACCTGGTCCTGAACAAATCTTCGATGTCCTCACCTGAAACATAATAATATTGACATTTCCTTACAATGTTATGGGAAGAAATAGAGAGGGTATATGTAAAAGCATTCTGTACCCAACAAAATATTACAAACTCATAGACTATAAACGTAAACACTATACATATATAAGTTATAAACAAAAATACAGGCAAACTAGTTGTGCTGATTTGAAATTTACTCATTATAACACAGATGTGCAAAATTTAATTAAAAAAAAACCCACAAACCTGTGTTTCCAGCCCTAAATTAAAATTTAAATTCAGTGATTGGAGTGTCAGCCCATGGACCAAAGAATCACAGCTTTGATTCAGTTGCAGGCTCGGTCCCAACCTCAGTTGGGGTGAATGCCAGAGGCAACCAATCAGTTTGTCTGTCTCAAATCCATGTTTCTCTCTTTCTCTCTCCTCCTCCTCCCTCCTCTCCACTCTAAAAAAAAATCAATGGAAAAAAATATCCTCAGGTGAGGATAAAAAAAAATGTATTTCCCATCACATAATTGACCTCATCTTGATCAAAAGTCTTCATTCCCACTTGGTATAAAAACCAAAACAAAATAAAAATGTAAAGTTTGTTCATTTGTTATGACTCAGGTTCTTCATTAAATAGTTAGTTTGGGATACATTTTACTCTTCCTGGTTTTCCTCTCCCTTCCCCCTTCACCTCAAGAAGTTTATGCAATATTGTGGTGGTGGGAGCGGAGCTTCTGCAGCCGTTAGTGGCCTTCCTGGGTGGGCTGCTACATCCTGAGTAAGACAAACCGAATCCAGCCTTCTCCTTGGGTTTTGGTCTCTACCTTCGCTCTACCTGTTCAGAAGTGTTTGGGATGCTCCTTTCAGCATAGGCATGGGGCAATGTTTGCTTCTGTCTGTCTTCCCTGATTGACCATACTCTTCATCTCAGCTCTCACTCCTCACTCCTCATCTCAGAGACCTGGCTGTGTGCAGTGTTGGCACCTCCGGTGGAGAGGAGCAGTCTCTGCCCGATTACCCTTGCTTTCAACACAGAGACCCCTAGAAAGTGTGCTGACTTCTACGAAAAGCTCAGTTCAGTATCTCTGCCACACCAGAGCATCTCGGCCAATTCTAAGACATGAGGTACCTGGAGGAGAGGTGAGTAGAATGGCCCTTTCTCAACATGCCCTTTTCAACTCTACTGCCCACCCCACGGTGGTTTAGAGACTCCCAAGAAGCATTTCCTTTGAGTTGGGGGGAGAGAAGTTAACAAGGCCTCTTTTGCTCTCATCTCCTTCCTTAACCTTCTTGTTTTCTTTTTAGATCACCATCCTTTTTGTTCCTATTCCCAGTCTCTCATCAAGCACCATTTGCACCACCGGGGGGGAGGGAGAGGAGAAGTGGCTTCCATTCCTATGTGGTTAGGTCCCACTTTTATAAGCTTTAGCCTTATATCCTCAGGCTTTCTTCTCAATATGTAAATGGCAGCTTTAGCATTTTCAACAAATCATAGCTTGTGTAAAAACTTTGGTAGCAAATGCACAATGACACATTTGTTCTAGAATAGGCTGTATCCACTCCACACCTAAAGCAATAAAGGCCATTGATTTTATGACTGTGGCAGCTGCAGGGCAACAAGGTTTACAGGGAATTTTTTTTAAAGCATCATGACATACTTAACGTTTTTTTCCTTACTATATAAACTAGGTAGTTTAAGATTATGGGAGATTTCAAGAGTTTCTTGAATAAAGGAAGAAAAATTACTTTGTGAAATAGCAGTCAGGGAGATGTAACTAACCCATTTTAGAGACGACTGAATGAAGGCTCAAAAAAGATAGATAATTTTCACAGCACGTGAGCAGTGAAGCAAAAATTTAGATTCAATTACTGATATGATAACTTCAGTGTTCTTTTTACTATCGTATGTAATAAAACCCTAATATGAAAATCCACCAAATGGTGGAACAGCCAGTTGCTATGACATGCACTGATCACCAGAGGGCAGACACTCAAGACAGGAGCTGCCCCCTGGTGATAAATGCATTCCCACAGAGGGAGTGCTGCTCAGCCAGAAGCCGGGCTCATGGCTGGCAAATGACAGTGGTGGAAGCCTCTCCTGCCTCCATGGCAGCCCTAAGGACCCTTCGGGGATGTCTGCTTCCCAACTTAGGCTAGCTACCCATGGGGAATGGGCTTCGATAGGCAGACATCCCCCAAGGGGTCCTGGACTGCAAGAAGGTGCAGGCCAGGCTGAGAGATTCCACCATGACCACTCCCAGTGCACGAATGTCATGCACCAGGCCTCTAGTAAATATATCAATAGAAGTCCTTGACAATGTCAGTCAACCCAAAAGGGAAACCATGAATATGAATTCCTGAAACTTGCTATTCAAACAACAAAACTACATGACCTCAAAGAAGATTTAAAAATGGGAAATCCTGATGAGTCATTAAACTTCTTTATTCATTATTTTCTTAATTCAACTACCATTTAGTGAATACTTCTGAAATAACAAATATTGTACCATGTATTGGAAATCTTATAAAGGTAATTCTCCCTATTCTGAATTAAATCCCAATATAGTGGGGAAGACAAGAAGATGTAATTATAACACACCTAAGCAAATTCAGTGCTATATGATTTTAAAAAAATAAAATCCTGTATACTAAAAGCGACCATAACGACAGAACAACCAGAACAACTGCTCAACCAGACACTATGCACTGACCTCCTATTGGTCCCTTTCCCTGGTCAGCAGGCTCTCATTGCTTGATGCCTAACAGGGACCCTAAGGTGGGTGGCAGGGAATGTGGGTGGTGCCAGACCAAGGCCCCCGCCCTGCTGGTCGCCCCATGCACAGAAGGCAACCTGTGGTAGAGTTGGGGCCAGTGACCAGGCGGGAGTGGCTGACCTCGCAGTCCCTCCCCTGGCCATAAGGCTTCAATCACCTGATGGTGAACAGGAAACCAGGGTGGGTAGCGGCAGAGTGCGGGGGGGGGGGGGGGGTAGGGAGCAGGACTGGTGAATGGGTGGAACGGCTGACCTCTTGGTCCCTCCCCACTACCCACAGGCTCTGATCACCTGGGATGGGTGGTGGGGATGTGGGCAGTGCCAGGCCAAGGTCTCTGCCCAGCTGGTTGCCCCACACACAGAGGACAACCTGCAGTGGAGGTGGGGGTGGCGAACGGGCGTAACAGCTAACCTCTCCGTCCCTCCCCCAGCTATCAGGCTCCAGTCTCCTGATGGCAAACTGGCAACCCAGGTGGGTGGCAGCAGGGGACAGAAGTGGCTGTCAGCAGCCAGGGAAGATGGTCCTGGTCACAGGCCAGGCCTAGGGATTGTACCTGCACATGAATTTCATGCACTGGGCCTCTAGTTTTATATATATATATATGTGTGTGTGTGTGTGTGTGTGTGTGTGTGTGTGTGTGTGTATGTGTATGTATATGTATATGTATATGTATTTATTAAATATATATATATTTAATCCTCACCTGAGGATATGTTTTTAATCATTTTGGAGAGAGAAAAAGAGGGGGTAGAGATGAAAGAGAGTGGGGGCGGGGAGAGAGAGAGAGAGAGAGAGAGAGAGAGAGAGAGAGAGAGAGAAAATTATTGTTTTTATACAAGTCTGGCCTAGGGATCAAATTGAACTGCAACCTAGGTATGTGCCCTGACTGGGAATGAAACCCACAACATTTTGATGCAGAGGATGATGTTCCAACCAACTGGGCCACCTGGCCTGGGGAGTGCTATATGATTTTAAGTATCATGAGGCTCTCAGGGTTCACAAATAAATTTTCCCATGCCTCGAATGTTTATTAGAATTCATAGTAATTCTACAGTCCCAACACATGTTGAGATGTAAGGGATTACTTAGACAGTTGAAAACGCTTCTCTCAATAAATCTGCAAATCACAAAGAGAAAGACAGAAATGCAGAGTGTACAGCAACTTGGAAGTCATGAGAGCCACCCATCTCCACTTCTTGCCTATTTCTCACTGGCCAATTTACCTTTCAACAATCTAAATGAACTGAAAACAGTCTCTCTTTGGGGCACCTGCAGTTGCCTATACACACACATACTGCATTAAAAAAAAATTGGTAAACTTCATTAAAACATCTTCCTCAAATATGACCTTTTCCAGTGATCTCAGAACAGTGACAGGGAGAATCCCCGCAGAGGAATGTTGTGACTTTGAGTCAGCGTTTTGGTGTCTGGTTCTGTGAAGGTTTTATGAGAATAGTGCAAGATTTCCTTTGATAGCTAAGAGTGACAACAGTATTCGAATGCCAAATGTGGTGAAAGGAAAAAGTAAAAAATGTGTCAGAATTCTATTCTTCCAAATCTCAAAACTCAAACACCTGCCCTGATATATTAAAATCCTTGACTTAAAAATGGAACTTGCCCTGGTGGGTTTGGCTCAGTGGGTAGAGCATCAGCCTGTGGACTGAAGGGTCCTGGGTTCCATTCTGGTCAAGGGCACATGCATGTTTAAGGGCTCATCTCCTCTCATCTCTGAAATCAATTAGATAGATAGATAGATAGATAGATACATAGATACATAGATACATAGATGCATAGATATTTAAAAAATGGAACTTAACAAGCTGCTGCATCACTTAAAATTATTAACTCCATTTAAAAAGTGCAAATTATCCCCTAAATACTAAATTGTCTAGAGACATTTAGTAAGGAAAACAAAAACCCATATCCATTTTTCTTCTCTTGTGAAAGGGGATCATTTACATAGCCATATATATATATATATATATATATATATATATATATATATTTGATATATGCTAATTACATGCTAACATAAATATTTAAAATATAATCTATAAAAACAGCCAGTCAAAGAATTATCAAAATCACACAAAGGCAAAAAAAAAAAAAATAGATCTGCTTGAAAACAAATTCTGTCATCTTGCTTATTCATGTGTAAACATCCAATATGCTCAATGCTTTGACATCTCTATTCATCTCAAGTTTGAATCAGCTATAACTATTTGACCTTTAACTGTGTTATTGATTCATCA